ACGTATGTCTGTACTATGAATTCTGTCTTCTTAAAAATTTTTCTAGGTATTATATAATCATTTAATCTGTTATACTAAGTTTTCCTCTGTTCTTTGCTTGCTCTTTCATCAAAGAGGATACTTCTGACAAGATGGATGGTAAGAACTTCCTTTTCTAATTCTATCACTAGAGATTTTTATGACTGGATTCTGTATCTTTGTTCATTTTCTTAATTTCCGGAAATGTACTACTTCTTTCTCAACAATCTTAGGGTGAAAATGGCAGCATAGTTCTATGATTGAATTTTTGGTTAAGCATATCCATCCCAGTCCACTCAAATACTAGGTTAGTGTTTGCTGTAAGTTAAATAAAATATCTTAAGTATTTTTACCTGAGCTGTTGGAAATACACTTCTGAATATTGTTAAGTCTTTCTCTAAGATATTAGATTCAGAAGAATGGGAAGAACTCTCATAAGTCATTTGTTTCAACCCTTCCGTTTACTAACTCTGATACAGAGAGACAGAATGACATATTTTACAAGTTCTTATGGTTAATTTATGAAAATGAAATGCAAATTGCAGATGCTGTCTTTTTAAGAGTGAGTTTTAAACTAACATTGAATCAAAACTGAATTTAAGCTTTGCCTTTTACATTCCAATGTTCAAATGATTACAGTTTATCGGTATTTGCTTGGTTCAGTAACAACTTAGTGTGATATTTTTGTCTGATACGAGACAGCATGTGATCTGCACTTACCCCTCGCTTCATCTGATACCATAAAGCTCTCTAAGAACTTGTGCTTTCTTTTAAGAACTTAAAATAAGACACTGAATCTGTAAGCCATGGCGTAAGAATAAACCCATTGCTGCGGAGTCGATTCCGACTCACAGTGACCCCACAGGACAGAGTAGAACTGCCCCATTGTGGTTTTCCAAGGGGCAGAGGGTGGATTAGAACTGCCAACCTTTTGGTTAACAGCCGAGCTCTTAACCACTGCACCACCAGATGTGAGAATAGCATCTCATTAAAGATTCTGGAAAAAGAGAGAATTAGTTTTTCTGTCAATTATTATGTAAACTCTGATAAATTGGAATATTTAGGTAGTCTTGGTTTTGGTACATGAGTGTTAGTTATATTTAGTAGTCTCTGCTTTTCTGTATGTTGACAGTATTTCATGAATTTTTTTAAAATTATTGAATGAAATGAAAACCCATCAAGAGATGATTTTTGTATCTCAAACCCTTAGAAATCACTTCTAATAATAATATTCTGGATCCTTTAAAAACAAATTATTCTCATTTTCCAAATCAACCTATTTGAGGTGTCGCCTCTGTTACGTGATGTGTTACTCTCACTGATGTTCAGTCCTATATTTGTATATATGTTCTCACACCATCACTTACATATACACACACATACGTATACATATATATACGTTCTCACACCATCACTTACATATACACACACGTACGTATACATATATACGTTCTCACACCATCACTTACATATACACACACATACGTATACATATATATACATTCTCACACCATCACCTACATATACACACACATATGTATACATATATATACGTTCTCACACCATCACTTACATATACACACACATACATATACATATATATATATTTGCTCTTTAGTGGTAGTGAGTAGTAATATTCATATTTGACCCTTTTTGACTGGTTTTCATTGACATCCTGGAGAACACATGTGTGTCAAGTAAATAACTGATGAATTGATAAGTCTTTGGCTTTATAGATGCTTCATGAAAATACCAGGCTAATGAAGCCTAGGTCATAGATTTGTTTCCCATGCCTGTCAATTAGCTTTTCTAGCTCTTCTTTGGTCCACCTTTTGAAAATGCAGGGAATGTATTCCTGCTCTGGAAAGGTCTAACACATCTTCATTTGCAAAGAAGAGTAATTATAGAGTTGCATCTTTCTTGAGTGATTAATTTCTCTAGTTTTCTTCACCATTTCAAATTTTAATAATGAAGTACAGCGGATAAAAGTGTTCACTATAGAATTTTACCATTTTCAGTTATCTTGTGTTAACTCGTGGGTATGTGTGTGTGTGTGTTTATGTGAGATTAAGTTACTTGAAATGTCCTTAAAATGAACCTTTTTAAAGTTAAATTAAGGCTGTAAAACTAAAGATATTTTTTGTTTTCATCCTTTCATTTTAGTCTTGGGTGGGGTCTTGAGGTAGGTCTTATAACATCAACATTGGCAGAATTTGTTGAAATATTATTGTTTTATTTCTCTTATTTAGGAACAGCATCTGAAGATGGTAAGAGTTATACATTTTGCTAGTAACACAAATATCTCTACATTAATATTTTCACTAGTAGGAATTAAATGTTAAAACTAAAATAGGCTAATTTCTTTGCAAATGTATATAATTTGCAAGCTGTGGTAGCTTCTACGTTTTATGTTTGTGTTATATGTGTGGATTTTTTTTTTTTTTTTTAATTTTTCACCCTCTCATTTTGCTTTTTACATCTTGGATCATCACATGCTTAAAAAACATAATTGCTTAACATATTTAATAAGATCTACTATAAAATTAGTATGTAATTTCATTTTTTCTGTAGTGACATTAATGCCTTTCTTTTTGTTTTTGTGGTTTTATTTTTTAATTTACACCAATTCATTTATACTTTAGGGGAGCATGCACCATTGTTTTATAATCATCTCATTAGAGTTTAAAAACATCTATTTAGTCAGCTTTTAAATGTGTCTTATTTTTGAATCAGTAACTGGGGAATGACATTTTATTTGAATTTGGAATTATAAAAAAGTGACTACAACATAAGACCATTTTTTACTGAGTCAGTATACTTTTCAAAATAATTATTTCTTGCTTTTGAATTTGTAGAAAAATTCAATCTTTATAGGTATCCTGCCTGAGGCTGTCTTACAAAAGCCTCTGACTTGAAGCACTGCTTTTTTTCCTCTGAATTTTACATGGATAACATTTTCTTTGAATGTAAAACCAAACAGATTACTTTTTTTGGTCTAATTCTTACTCTGATACATGTGAAATATTTTCATATTTCAAATTTTAAATTGAAGTACTCTATTAAAAACACGATTTGTGACACTGTGGCATTGTAATTTAGGAATTTTAATATCAAAAATACTTGTCACATCCAAATTTCTTTGTTATATAGAATGTGGGTAAATTCTCCATTTTAGAAATAACAACTTGGTCTTTCTGTTTTCCCTCTTAGTCAGGAGAACATTGGGTCCTACTGTAAATAGACTGTAAAAGGGCAAGAGGCCTGAACTGTGGGCTCGTTAGGAGACTTGAAGAAGTTGGTGGAATGCTGGGACTCTACCAGCTATACTTCTGGGTTTGCTTCTCTTTTGTTCCTAGTTCTTATTACTCTTTTATCTTCCATCACACATTTCTTAATTTTGTAAGTTCTCCGTACTCTTCTATTATGTTTGTTCCTACTTAATATAGCTGTATTAGGCTATGTTGTGTACATGCTATAAATTGTACCTTTTAACTGAAATGGCTCTGAGCTCTGTTCTGTGATCATGTTTGGATTTGATAGCAACCAAATGGTCCGGATTTGATAGCAGTTGAGACTGTTGCTTTAGAATACCATAAAACCTGTTCTCGTTGAGTTGATTCTAACTCATAGCAACCCTATAGGACAGAGTAGAACTGCCCCATAGGGTTTCCAAGGAGTGACTGGTAGATTCGAACTGCTGACCTTTTGGTTAGCAGCTGATCCTTTAACCACTGTGCCACCAGGGCTCCTAGAATCCATGTTGTTGTTGTTAGGTGCCATCAAGTCAGTTCTAACTCATAGTGACCCTAGAGGACAGAGTAGAACTGCCCCGTAGGGTTTCCAAGGAGCGGCTGGTGAATTTGAACTGCCGACCTTTTGGTTAGCAGCCGAGCTCTTGGTACCTGCTAAACCTGTTCCCATCAACTTGATTCCGACTCATAGCGACCCTATAGAACAGAGTAGAACTGTCCCATGGGGTTTCCAAGGCCGTAATCTTTATGGAAGCAGACTGCCACATCTTTCCCCTGATGAGCAGCTGGTGGGTTCGGTTAGCAGCCAACCTTTCGGCTAGCAACCGAGCATTTAACCGCTATGCCACCAGGGCTTCTTTATGGACCTGCTAGTGATACTATATTCTATTGTTACTTGTTTGTTTTGGGGTTTTTTAGAATTTGTTTTGTTTTCTTTAATGACAGATTACTCAAGAACTCTGATAAGCATTATCTCTTTTGGTTCAAGAGCTCTAGAAATAGGATAAGAATTTTGTGGCCTGGTTTTGGTGGAGGAGGGTGGGACGGTGGTAGAGGAGCAAGGAATGGAATGGGGAGGTAGAGAAGGGAATGTATCGAGAAAAGTGCCAACTCTTACATGACACATATTTCCTCAAATCATTTTATAAGTGAAATTGGTTGGTTGGGGGAAGAGAGCAGTAGACGTGTCCATATACATCTCTCGTAATCTGGTGGTTGACACAGGATAAAAGAGGAAATATAGTACCTGGTAAGAGCTCTTCCTGCAGTCCATTTAGAAGCACATTTTCAGGCAAAAGGTTTAAGATTTTGCTTCTAAGAATAAGCTTATATTTAAAGCTGTAGGCTGGATTTGAGAATAAGCTAAACTTTATGGAAAATGAGATTTTCGAATTGGAACTACCAATTAAGTAACAAGTGGCCTGTCTATGGTAATTATTTTAATTACAACTCCACTTTACCTGACTACTAATGTCAAACTAAGAATGGAAATCCTTTAGACTATATTCTTACCCTTAAAGGAAAGTAAGCTTATGATACAACATGTAAAAACTAGTACGGATTTAAACATTTTAAGAGCAATATAACCTGTAAATGATGTTTACCTTCTTACAGAATTTAACACATGCTTGAAAAGCACACCCAATTAGAAAATACAGTGATTTTTTTTCCTCATTACTAAATATTATTATAGAAAAATGTCTTTAATGATGGAAATATTTTATTCCTCAGGCCGGGTGAGAGCAAAGCTTTCAGCACCACTTGCTGGCATGGGAAGTGCCAAGACAGATTCCAGAGGAAGAAGTCGAACAAAAATGGTGTCTCAGTCACAGCGTATGTATCATTTATCAGTCCTCTGCGTTGGTCTGTATGGTAGGGTATGCGTGTTGCCTGTATATGACTGTACTGGGCGATTGTCCAGTGGATAGAGAGAGCTGATTTCACAAAAGACGAGCCACATACTGAGTTCTTGTTCTGTACTTTAGGTTCGTCATCACCTGACAGAAACGAAGGTATTTTTTCAATGTTTTGGGTCAGTTGTTGTGCATGTCTTGGAATTTTTTTGAGTGGGTGTTGTCTTGTCTTGGATGTGTTATTAAGGCTGCATCATTGATATCTGCCACTTAGGAAAAAGAAACTTCATCTGCTGTACAAACTTTTGCATGGAGATATGTTAAATAGCACATATCCTCAGCCTTAAGGTTTCCACAGTCTACTCAGAAACTTGCAAATGTAAAAAATTGTGCTTTTTACAGGCAAAGTAATTGTCATATATTAGCATCAAAATCTGGCTGCATCTAATTAATGCCGTTCAAGGACAGATATATGGTATCTTCTTACTCTCCCCAAAATGTATTAAAATACCTTATTTTTGATTAGCATTTTTGGCAGATATATACTGATTCATAGTGAGGAAACACAGATTGAAATGACCAGTTCTCTTGTATTCCCTGTTAAAGTTAAGATTTCTGTTTTTACTGTTTCATTGGAAGCTGACTTCCTCATAAGCACAGTTATTAAAAAGCACAATTTTGAGGTTTAGGTAAAATCCATCTCTACATGTTCCAGGATAGTAACATATATTTATTACATTAATTTAAAAACATTTGTTCCCATTCCTTCTTTACCAAGAGATTTTCATGAACACTTATCTCTAAAAGCAGGAAATTTTTCTAGGGAAATAATTGTGAAGGGTTATTCTACATACTTGGCTATTTTGGAAAGAAATGGATGTAACGTCTTCCACTGTTGAGGTGACTTATCAGACTGTGGGTGCCCTGTTCGTCTGTTCTTTTACCTGATTCCCAAATCTCTGATCCTCTTAACTTGAGAACAGTGAAAAGAGCTGGGGCTCGGCGGGCAGGATGGTGATTGCACAAGTCCTGCCTCACAGAGTCTCCTCTTCTTTCCAAGGGCAGATTAGCCAGGGGAGCGGTCAGCAAGGGTCTGGTACCAGAAGCGGAACGCTCAGTAAACTTGATTTGCAGATTAAGGGTTTATTTGCAGATAGGAAGAATGGCACATGTCCTCTAGCCAAGGGCTTTTCTGCCGACCTAATGAGGAGTAGATCACACTGCATTGTGCCCTGACCTTGTGTATTTTACAGTAATTTTCAGAGTCGCTTAATCTGTAGCAGTAGGGTGTAGTAATTGAGAGCCTTGCAGCTACTCTTCCACATGTGGTCCGCAGATCAGCAACATCACCTCACCTGGGAGCTTGTTAGAAAGGCAGAATTCCATGGCCCCCCCCCCCCGCCAGATCTACTGAATCATAATCTGCTTTTTAACAAGATCATCAGATGATTTGTATCTCAGTAAAGTTTGAGAAGTACTGATTTAGATCATGGATTCTGGAGCCATGCTGTCAGGTCTGAACCCTGGCTCTTCAAGGTTATTTAAACTCTGTATTTCTGTCTGCTCATCTGCGAAATGCCTTCTGCCTCATAGGGTTGTTGTGAGGATTAACTGACGTAGTATATATAATAAACTTGAAACAGTGCCTGGCCTAGGATAAGCGCCACATGTGGTAGCTGATAGAATTTCCTCGTTATTCTTAATCGTATGTAAATTGAATTTTCTGTTTCTGTTATGTCCTTCTCTACCTAGTTATCCTTATGGCATCCAGGAAACGGAAATAAATAATGAAGAAGTTAGGAAATTTACACCGTAAAGAAAAATAAAAATAGGAATCACGAAAGTGTTCATGTTCATTGTCTTAAGGATAAAAGTAAATTGTATGTGAGGTTTTTTACTTTGTTCTCTTCTAAAATAATAGTAAGATCGAACCGAGGGCAAAGTATTCAAAGTGCTTTTTGTATGGTTTTTTAGTACATAATGAAGAGGAGCTCTGGTGGCAGAGTGGTTGAAGCGCTTGGCTGCTAACCAAAAGGTTGGCAGATCAAACCCACCCCCTGCTCCCTGGGAGAAGGACGTGGCAGTGTGCTTCTGTAGATTTACAACTTTGGACACACCGTGGGGCGGTTGTACTCTGTCCTGCGGTGTCGCTGTGAGTCAGCAGTGGGTTCAGTGTATTACTTAAGAGCCTCCCTTTTAGGTACATTATAACTACAGATGAATTCAGTAAAAAAGTATTCTATGGTAATATAATAAGCCATACGTTTATACGATTTACGATAACCACGTTTGTATGGTTTTTCACCTTGAAACCCAATCCATGAGACTTCACATCCTCTCCTGAAGTGTGAACATAGTGACTGGACTTTTCGACCTTGTAGGCCTTTAAGATGAGAAGACTTTGTCACTATGAAATCTCTTAGGTTTTAAATCCTATCAGAGTGCTTTTATTTGTCAGTATGCTTGTTTATTTATCTGAATGACTGTATGTTCCATTCTAAAGTCTTTGAGAAAGGTATTGTGACCTTATGAAATTTGATGCCAGTTTCTTTACAACATATTTGCACAGAAATATTACTGTGATTTCCATCTTCACTTTGTTGTAAAGTAATTCATTAGGGTTGCATGGTGTTTCCAAATTTTTATATTACCACTTAGGAAAAAAATCTCTTGGATCAAAGCAGGTATGTTCTGATGGCTAACCAAAATAAATAAAAGCAGACCCAGGAGAGACTTCGAGATTTATATTTACATAACGAGTGTGTCTTTTCTGGTATCAGTGACTAGTTGTGTGTAAATGATTGCACAGCTTGTCCTATACTTTGTCCCCCAACCCTGTGTTTTTCTGTCTTTGTCTTCAAAAAGATAAAATTCGTAGCTTTTTAATGTAATTTTTCTTCAGCTGTAAGATACTGTAGTTCTTCCTAATCTACAGCTTTAAATTAAATGTTTAAATAATAAAAGCATAAACATATAATTATTTGGATTTTGGACTATCTATAGTAGAAAAGCTGAAGAATTTACATTTACTTCTGCAGCTTCATTTCATCTGCTTTGTACACGAATGTCTGATTTCAATTTATCGCTACAAAAACTACTAAATATACTGCTTTTATCACAGACATCTGTGGTTCAGGGTTTTTTTTTAAACTTGCTTTTTTTGCTGTAGGGCTTTTTCTGAGAATTGACTAAAGCTTTCTTATTTCCATTTGCAATCCATCTTAAATCTGCTCCTTCCCTCTTCGTGGATTATAACCCTTACCCTAATTCTGCCTTTGCACTTGTTCAGGATCACAATCTGCTAATACCATTGGTGGTAAGAATCCGCAGACTTTATGTGTGCATCTGTTGTTTGATCACCTATTTTCATTATTAAGAATGGGTTCTATTCAGCAGAAATTCTTAACATGTACTATTCTATCATTTTGTAGCCATATTGAGGCAGAAATTATCAGTTACAATTTTTCTTTGGCCTGTTTTTATTTTATGGATTATTTAAATTCTCCAAGTTAACTCTATGGGTATAAACATCTAGAAGGAAAGGAACTTTAGTAATGCTTTGAAAGTATCTCGTAAAATGTATGAAATTTGAAAACTTTAACGAGAGGAAGAGAAATGAGTCATCTGGTTTCAGATTTCGCGAACAAGAGTATCTTCTAGTAGCATGCTATTCCCTAGGTACTGCAGGCCCTTTTTCATCAACTCTTTGGTTTCCCTGGAAGAAGGAATCAGCACTGTTTTCCACCCTTGGTGGTTGTCTGCTGGAGAAAGAGCCTTGATATTTTCTTCTGAATATAAATATATGATTCCAAAATGCATGCGAGGCACTGGAATTGTCACACTGTTGGTGGGGGCCAGGGAGTCTTGAAGAGACGGTAATGATTAAAGCAGAATGAATAGGCCATTTTTTTCTCTAAGAGAGGGCATGAACAAATTTAAATGTCTGTCAAATGAGTTTGCATAATTTTGATAAATTCAATAAATCTCAACTAGATGCAGCAGTGACTCTGCTTCTGTGATGTACGTTTCCTGTCTGCTGAATAGACCCACATTTCACAGAATTCTCTGCTCTCTCCCACCATCCCTACCCCCCATATTTACATTGGTTGTAACAGTACCGTATTGTATGTGCTCAGTTCATTATTTTTACTTTCTACATTGTTCGGGTTTGCCCATAAGATATTCCCTCAGCTCCTCTTGCATTGTGAGTTTGTGGCATGTTGAGTGTTTGGATGTTTTGGTGTGTATGTCTAGTTTAGATGCTGCATGGAGAAAATGGGTGCCTTACGAGTATCCGTAAGGTTATAAGAGAAAAAACCTGTTCAGCGATTCTTCACCTGAAATATCATGAAACATCCAAAGGAGCCATCATTTAACACTAGACTTGAATAACTTCCCTCTGATAATTTAGAATTCCTTCTACTCAGATATGAATTGTTAATTTTCACAGAAACATTGCTTTGTTTTATAATATTGCCATAACTCGTGGAAGATAAGTTTTCGTTTTGTGTGCTGCTAACGTTTAGGAATTAAACATGAGTATAAATTGTGCTCAGCCAGTCACATCGAGAAAAGTGTCGCAGGAGTCACGGACCAGCAGCCTGCGTCCAGCCAGCCTCCATTCGTGTGCTGCTTGGCCTGCACAGCATGATGAAACTCAGGACATTTCAGAGCTTCCGTTTTTTAAAAATTCCAAGACCTGGCTGGTGTTACCTCAGGGCAAACCAGCAGGAACTAAAAAGCCCCCTCTCTCAGCGGAAGGGGCAGACAGTCCCCTCCAGGTCACGGTCCCCTCACCACTGCCTGCCCGTGCTCAGCACTGCTCCCTCACTGATATCCTCGGTTTTTCCTGTTGGCATTTGAGTCTTTGGTCTCGCTCTGTGGCAGTGAAGCAGGGCTGGGTCAGACTATACCAGGTGAGCAGTGGACGCCCTACAGCTTAGGAGAAGCGGTGTGGCATGAAGGGAAAGGGCAGCTTTCATGGAGATTCATTGAAGTGCAAGTTTAATTTTGTTTTTTTTTCCCTATGAAGTTACCATTCAGCATCTAGTGTTAGATTGTATCCTGGAATTGTTTAGTTTATTTTCCCATTCAGTGCAGACCTCAAACGCTTTGATTGACAGGGAGCCCATCCTGAAAAGGTAACCAGTACACTTCCGGTTTAAAAACATGTGTTTCTTAACTTTTTTTTTACTCCACATCTTGAGCTCTGAGAAGATTTTGTCCAGCTTCGCCTCTTTAAGGAGTCCCTGCATTGTGCAAATGGTTAGCGCGTTGGGCTGCTAACCAAGAGGTTGGAGGTTCGAGTCCACCTAGAGGTGCCTCGGGAGAAAGTCCTGGCAGTCTACTTCACAAAAATCAGCCATTGAAAACCCTGTGGAGCACAGTTCTACTCTGACACACAAGGGGTTGCCATGAGTTGGAATTAACTCAACGGCAACTGGTGGCCCCTCTCTGTCTACCTGACCACATCTCTGCCTTCCAGACCTAGTTCAAAAGGGGCCTGACTTCTTTGGCATCTGCCCTTTAGTCCTGGTCTACGCTCAGTGCCTCTGTATCCTGACTTTGCTATTTGAAGGCAGCTGTAATCCCCTCAAGTTTCTTTTTCAGCTGGCCCAATTTTGTTAACATTTAAAATTAAATTATATAAAAATTAAAAAATATATGTAGTAGTAAGATAGGTTAACTTTATTAAAGCCATTTAGAGGCTGCAGGCAAACTGTTTAGCATGAAGCAAATTATCATTATTATGTTCTTAACAGCGATTGTAGCAGTAATAGAATTATTCATTTTTTCCCTTTTAAATAGATAGCTTTTTCATATAGAACATTTTAGCTGTATGCAGTGTATGGCCAGATGAGTGGTTGCTTTGGAAATCTTTTTTTACTATTTGTGTTCTGAAAATTGTAATAATGTTGTCCTTATTAAGCTTAGTATCTTATAACCCTCAAAACTGAAAATAGAATTTAGGTGACTTATTAACGGTCCTTGTGAATACAGTACAACAAAACCTGTGAAAGCCTGAACTTGTGTAAGGCGGAAACCTATCAGAGAAGAGAAACTCAAATATGTTCCCCTGATAGACAGTGATGGAAAAGCCGTAAGACTGCACCTCGTCAAGGCGGAAAAGTTGTGAGACCTGGAAAAACAAGGCGGTCCTGTCCAGTTCCGGCTCTCACAGATTTCACTGTACACCGTTTTTTTCCAGGTTATGATTATATATAAATCTGCCTCGGTCCATTTCCTTTGAACTTAGAACCTGCCATTCTGTCAGTTTTTTTTGGACACGTCTCTCTGATTTCCATCCTTCTCGCAGTGAGTTAATCTTAATCGTGTGTGTGTTTGGTGTTCAGCTGGCAGCCGGTCTGGGTCCCCAGGAAGAGTCCTGACCACAACTGTCCTCTCCACTGTGAGTTCCGGTGTTCAAAGGGTCCTGGTCAATTCCGCCTCGGCGCAGAAGAGAAGCAAGATTCCACGGAGCCAGGGCTGCAGCAGAGAGGCTAGTCCGTCGAGGCTGTCAGTGGGTAAGACTTCCTGCCTGTGACTGGAACTTTGTGTTTCTTTTCTGTTTCAGACTTCGGTCATATCGAAGGCTTTGGGATACAGATAGGCACTGTTAGAGGAAAACACAGATTCAAGGGGAATTGATTAAAATAGGGGTGATGATATGAATTAGGTATGTCTATCTTGAAAGTATGTTCATAGGGAGCTTTAAAAATATAGCTAGCATTTTAAAGCACAGAATCATTATGTAATTCACAATATATTTGTCATATATATATACATACACGTACATTTAAATGTGTATATGTTAGCCACTTGTATTTGACATTTATATTGTAGATCAACCCTGTTCAAATACTAATAAATTTTTTTTCCCTCTGTATATTGGTTAGGATATTCTCAATTTCAGATAACAGAAATTGCAGTTGAAGCCAGGTTAAACAGTGAAAGGGGATTTATTGCCTCTTTTAACTGAAAAGCTTGGAGGTAATGCAGCCTTCAGGATTGACTGATGCAGAGGTGGATCGATCAACATTGCCCTCATGGACCCAGAACCAATCTTCCTTCCTTCCTCCCTCTCTTTTTTCCTGGATCCTCTGTCTTTTGTTCTTGATCTACTCCCTTGTTTTGCTCATGCACATTCTCAAATAAATTCCTGAGACTGTGTGTGGGAGTTGCACTTTTTAGACCTTTCTTGTCTGAGAATGTCTTTATTTAGTGGGTGGCACAGACTTCTCCTAGGCCTGCAGACTTCGAACTGATGTCTTTTCCACAATAGCGCTTTTTGCTTATGCACTCCTGATGTTTGTTATATCTGACCCCAGAGCCTGTAAAGTTTTTATCTAGGCTGAATCTGCCTCTGTACATTTTCCAGACATTATTTTAAAGCGTCTACTCTGTTTTTAGTCCTTCTTTGCCTGTAGATTTTCTGTTACTTGTTTATTTCTTTTTGTGCTTGTGTTTGTGTGTTTTTATTTGTGAGAACTCAGGAAAGGGACGTATTAGCTCATTTCACCCTCTTTATCTTGAACTGAAAGCTTAAGGATGGGTTTTGTACTTTGAGTTCGTATTTTATATGGAAAGATGTTTCTTTCTATTAAAATAAAGATTTGGAAAAATAAAAAGATTTGGACCTACAATACCAAAAGCGTGATAAAGTTTAATCAACATTGAAAAAAAAATGAATTTTACTATGTGGTTCAATATTTTAACTCTCCTATTTTAAAATTTTTTTAAATAAAATATTATTTTACCCTTCTAATTTCATGCAAACCAGAGGACCACATTCAAGAAATTTAACTGTATTGTCGCAATGCCTTGTCCACAGTAACTTACTTTCAACCTTGGTTTAAATTATTGACCAGTTTTGAATAAAGCCCACATGTCAGAAAATGCAACCTGTGTCTTCTCTTTTCTCCCTGTCTCTGCTGCCGTTGCTTCATGCCAGCTCGAAGCAGCCGTATTCCTCGACCAAGTGTGAGTCAGGGGTGCAGCCGGGAAGCTAGTCGGGAGAGCAGCAGGGACACAAGTCCTGTTCGCTCTTTTCAGCCCCTCGGTGAGTACTTGGGCAGGTGTGAGGCACATCGCTTTCCCCCGTCCTGTCAGTGTCTGGTCATCTCAACAGGCTCGGGGTTTAGCTTTCCTCTTGGCTGTGTCTTTGCCTCTGTCTCTTCTCTGGTTTTGTTTGTTTGATGAAAAATAAGGGAATTGCATGTTTGGAAATTCCTTTGACACATATTTGTTTTCAGTGAGCAAGCTAGTCACTTTATAAACACGTCGACTTCATAATCAAGGAAATGTTACACAGACTTAAACTGCAGAATATTGAATTCAAGATTTTTCTTAACAGATAAGCCTACAAAATTTAAAGATAATATTTTAAAATTTAATCTCAAGGAATAAGAACGATTTAATTTGATAAACACTTTTTGTTCTTTTCAGCAGAAGTATTGACATTCTGTCTTAGATCCCTTAATTTAGGTTATTAGAAACAGTGCTAGAAAACAGTACATGACAACTTATTGAGGGGGGTTCGCATTTTTATAGTATTGCATTGTCGTTCCCCACATATTAGCTCATGTCACATCGCTGCTGTAAAACTTGTTTGTCCTTGATAAGAGAGATTGCACTGTAAACTTGATTATAATATTGTATTTACTTCAATTATAAAAATATTAACTGATGTATATATTTTTTAAATTGTTAGTACTTTTAGAATAACTGAGAGGCAGAATTTTTACATTGAGATTTTAGAACGTCTGCGTGATCTTTCAGCATTTTAACTAATAACTTGGTTTACATGCACTTATCTGTAGCCATTCCAGATTTTTTCATTTAGTTCTACAAAAACGAGTTCGCTGTAATGCTTAGTTGCCCTTCAGACCCTGGGGCGCTTTCGTAGTACGTAGTTCTGCTCCTTGTCTCTGACGTAACCAACGCCTCTCTCAGATTCCCGTGATTGCCACGCGTCAGAATAACAAGCTTTCTTGGGAAGTCTCAAAAGGAGGGGAATCACTGGCACTCTTCCTTCCCCGGAAAGATGTGTTAGTCTAGAATTTCTAGTAATTAACTTCTTGTTCTCTGCTCCATTTAGTTCAGTTATGTACCTGGCTGTCCTGTCCTGACCTAGAAAACCCCATTAAGCTAAGGACACAGACAGTGCTGTACTCAGACCTTGTAGTTTGTGCTCCAGTCTCTCTTTTCCCTCTTTGCCTCTCCTCAGTGGGAAGGTGCGAAGGTAAAAAGACCCCTTCTGCATCACTAAGGCCATATATGGTAGACACTTTGCCCAAGATATTTTTTAGTTCATACCCCAACTCTGTAACCTTTCAGTGCCCGGGTTTCCCCAGCTATGAAATGAAGATAATAACAGGCCCTGCTTTGTAGAATTGTTTTGAAGACTCTGTAAATGAGGGACTACGTGAACAGTCCCTCAGAGCACGCCTGGCATTGTTGTCGTGGTTGGCATCGTGGGTACCACTGCCGCCACCACCGCCGCTGCTGCTCCTGTACCTCCTCCTCCTACAGACTCGCTTTGCCCAGCAGTGGTTGTGTATGTTAGCGGCACGGACCTCACCGGATCTCAGGGCTGTCGGAATGGCGTAAGAGCTACATTTGTATAATGCTAATACTACAGCGTTAGTGGAAAATGTGAGATGTCAAGAACAAACCAAAATGTGTTTCTTTTCCCTTTTAAGCCCATATAGTAGTCAGAAATTAGAGAAAATTATAAGCAAATACCAATAAAAAGTAGACATTAATATACTTATTTCTTAAGAGATGTGTCATCTAGCCATTAGTTTTCTAGATCCATCTCAAAGCCTCCATTTGGCAATTTAAATTACTTAATTGTGTTATTAGAGGAAGCAATTTTCCTGATTCGAGTGTAATGTCCAATTTGGGCTGAAGATGATTAAACCTTTTAATCACATAACTTCAGAAGAATTGATTCTGTAGCTCTTTTGTTTACATGTGGACTGGGTAGCAAAGGTAGTAGATTAGCTCTTTTGGATTCACAGGTTTGAAGAGTAGCATCTCTGAGATTCAGTTGTCCTCTCCGTTCCCATTTTCTGCTACCTATGCCTGCATTCTGCTCTCCTTGCTTTATTTGTGCATCTGGGGACGTCCTTGAATGTTGCCTTTCAGCAGATGAATCCCGTAGCTTGTCGTCCATACAGTCGTAGTTACAACAGTGGCATTAGGCAGTGTGAGGACCCCAGAGCATCAGAACTGAGCAACGCTGAGCTTCTCTGGGACTTCCACTTCAATTTCCATTTATTTGCGGAACCAAGATTTGCAGAAAGGCTTACCTCATCACAAGCACACGAACGGTGCCTCTTTCCTGTTACCTTCAGCCACAGATAGCTATTGATACCGTGAAGGTTTCCGGAGATTTTCATCCACTAGGCGGTTCCGTATTGGTTCAATTCTTTTCTCACCATTGTAGATGTTATTTCTGTTAAAATTAAAACTAACTAGATACTGTTATATTTTACTAAAGACACCAGTTGCCCTTCAGGGACTGATTAAACATTTGATGTAGCATTCACTCGGTTTAATCCTTCTTTCTCTCAATCTTTCGATCATTTTCCTGCTCATTGAAGTTTGTCCTGTGGCAAAGGAGTCACTTATGCTGTAAAAGGATTGTAACCATTCTGATTTAAGTATCTGAGGAAGAGTAACTTCTAAAATAAAAGTAATATATTTCGTTAAAGAGTATTATTTTTTTGTTTCTGTATTAAGAGAAAAATCAACTTTGTTTTTATGCAAATGAGAATTTTAAATCTAAAATGCAAAATATATTAAATTTTGGTCCTAGAGCAAAATATAGAGGACACACATCACAGATTTCTAGGTTTTTTTTTGGGGGGGGGGGTGAATTACTTACATACTTTTATGATTAAATGTCCTTCAATATTTAATCTACTAAATGCAGAATTTATTTTCTGTGACCATTATGTACAATGTCTGTGTTAACGTGAATGGGGTACGTTATCTTTGGAGCAACTTGAAGACGGTATGTGCACTGTTGAAGAGCAAACACCTGGAAGAGTACCGATGCTGAGCTGTAGCAGTCAGTAGTCGTATGGCTTTGATCAAATTAATTAACCTTTCTAGGCTTTAGTTTCTCCATCTGTAAAATGGAGTAGTAACAATTGCCTCATTTGGTGTCAGGATCAAGGAGATAAGATTATTATTAGTTACTAGTTACCATAGTGGTTTTTTTTTTTTCTTCCAGCTACGTTTTTTTTTTTTTTTTTTTTTTTTTGTCTCACTCTTGTACTCGGACATTTCCTTCCATTTGAATACTTGTTTCTTTGTCTTCTGAAGGCCTGTCTGTCCACTCAGGTGTAAGATGTGCTTGCGTGTCAAGGATGATGTGCCAGCGCTCATGTTCAGTCGCCCCGTTTAGCAGCGTTCTGATCTTTAACTATCAGTAACAGCAGCTGTGTTGACTAACCCCCTTCCTGACTGTAGTGCTGCCACTGTTGTTGTTTCTGTGGTGATAGACAAGGTTTGTATGGTCCTGTGATTCCAGCCTCCAGACACCATTCCAGATCTACTGGTGCTCTCTACGCCCCCGATGTGTACGGGGCCGCAGGTGAAGGATGAGTACATTTTCACTATCATCTGTGCATTCATCTCAGATTTTTGTCCTTTTCAGTTTCCACCCAATAATACTCATGTTTTAAAATTTCTTTGTTTTGATTTAAATTTAATTTGTTGGAGAATACATCATTTGTGATTTTTTTTTCCCCACCTAAGTAACTTTTTCCCCTCCAGCAACCTTATTTGAATATTTTTCTCACTGGCGGATGGACATTATTCTTTTGTATAACCTAAATTATGTTATTTTAAAGTAGAGAATTGTTTTATGTTCTTAGTTGTGTATTTCATCTTTGTATATGTGTTTAAAAAAAAAAAAAACCAAAATGGTGGATGAAGTGTTTTAATTGTAAACGATGCTACAGAAAGCAGTGGGGGACAGAATCCAGCTCTGGTTGGTCTTTCTCAGAATGCTGGGCATGTAATAACAGATATCGAACGGTACGTCTCACTTAAAGAATTTGAAGTCAGCCTGACTTGTAGGGAGGAGATGATAACCGGAGCTTTTTTCCCTTGTCAGTTCCTGGCGTGGCTTCATTGAGCTCCCTGGTCATTGTCCGTTTGAGGATTAATCTGTGTCCTGGGTCACTCTGTGCTTTACCCATATAGATGAGATTTGACTGACTGATAAAGCTGGATTAATTACAGGGCTGTAGACTTGCAAGCCCGTAGTCTGCCAGCCATGCTTCCTTCTGTCTTCTTGGTCATAAATACATTATAGCTGCTATTCTTTACATCTATTTTCCACACATTGTCAATAATTTTAATTGCACTCACCCTTTTATTTTGCCAAAAGTTAAATGTGCCCAGGGACTCCGATACTGCTTTTAAAATGCTTTGCCCCATTGGGTTTTTTTTCCCCCCTCCCCTGTAAGGGTCTTAAACTTTTCCAACCTGACTGTGTTACATGATGATTCTCTGACAGCTCTTTTCCTTTCTCTGATGACGTAGGTCCGGGCTACGGGATCAGCCAGTCAAGCCGACTGTCCTCCTCCGTCAGCGCTATGCGAGTCCTGAACACTGGCTCCGACGTGGAGGAGGCCGTAGCAGATGCCTTGGTACCTTCTGCGTTCCTTTATCATTTGAAATGTGCCAGTTAGGAAGCTAACGTATGCGGGAGCCAGTTCACCAGTGTGGGGAAAGAGACACAAGGAATCCTGTGGATTAAATCCAGGAAGATAAAATGTGGATGCTCAGACTTTTGCAACATAAAAAACAGAACAGAATAATTAGTTCTTTATTAATGGGTCAGAATTTTAAGCCAGGGCCAATAGTAGTTGATGGGAGTGTCAGGACTATAAGCGGTGATGTCTGTACGTGGTGATGGTGTTTTACGCACTGTAGCACACTGACTCTGAAGGCAGTTAGGTAGTGTGTAAATATGCACACTGAAAAGCACGTCATTTCAGGGTCCGCTTAACCTCGAGTGTTTAGGGATCATTTTTGTTTAGGGGAAGATTTTATTTGTCTCAAGTATTTGAATTTTTTGAGCTGAGAGAAAGTATAGCTGCAAAACGCGGTTCTTTATGCCCAACACGTTAAGCAGGGAGGCTTAAAAACATAATCTATAGATTCATAATAGTTTGTCCCGAGAGTCTGTACATTGATCACTGTCACTTGCCAATTTCCCAAGTCAGTTCAGTATGACATTTCCTCTTGCAAATTACGATCTTAGACCTGTGTTTCTGAAGCATTTACCCAGTTTCTTCACCAGAACTTATAAAAGGCTTTGTCTTTATTTTGAAATACAAATATATTATGCCTCTTAAAACTGTAGATCACATCTTAACCAGTGTTGGTATTATTTTTGCCACACAAATTTGAAAAACAAGCTTTTGAGAATATTCACAGGTCTTAGCTATAATGTATTAAATTTAATCACACATGTAGTTCTGCTCAGAAACCCTGTGTCTGCTGAATTTTTCCCTTTACCTTAGCCATTTGATGTTTTTCAATATGTAAGTTAATATAATATAATAGGGACTTTGTTCTCTTGAGCATGGAACGTATTGATCCCATCTTTATCTGATAATATTAAATTGGTCAGATGCTTCAAATTTACTATTCTCATCAATATAGTTCTCAAATAATGTTTTCTAGTTTGTTTTTTTTTAATTGGATGATTTGCCAGTTAAATTCTGCTTATATATAGTTTTATCAATTGAATGGGCTATTCTTGAGCTACTAATTATATACTAAAATGTTTTGTGTGAATCATATGAGGAAAATTTAACCACCAGGACTAAAATCTGAATCCCAATAATCTGATTCTGTCAGCTCTGTTATTTGCGTACAACAGATACTCCAGTTACAACTGCCAATATTTAGGAAGAGACTTTCTGACTATTAAACCTAATCTGGGTATGGGGAAAATTATAGAGTTAAAATTATCTTTGGAAATGGCAGAAGAAGTCAAACAGGAGAAGACTTGAGTTTCTTTGCGAAAACTGGTTTTGGGAATATTTTGTCGCTTAGATATTTCTCTTTGGACTAAAGGATATTGGCAAGATTAAAGTTATATCTTGCTAATAAGCAGTTCCTTTGTATCTATGTGTATAAAAAACCTAATGTTTCTGATCATGGGCATTGTTAATAATGCCTACTTTACTGTGCTGTTCAGCAAAATGTTCTTCATTATTTTTAATTTTTCTCTTTAAAAATTTACTGCTCTCAGCTCTTAGGAGACATACGGACTAAGGTATAGACATTGATATTTTCTGACATCTTATGATTCCATAACTTTTATTTCTTTTGCTTCATCAGTTTAACAGATGGTAGTCTTCTGTGAAAAATCAAAGTGAAAGTAATAATTCTTAGACAGACGTCTTTTTCTGTACATATGAGCATCAGTAAGGAGATAACTGCCTTAATAGAGTGTTCTGTGGGGTGCTGGTCCTTTATGGCTGACTACTTCCTGCAAGTGAGATGAGGTCATTAACACTGAAGCATGAAACATAACTGACCCTGGAGTCCAGTACAGGAAATCACAGCATTACCGTTCTAAATTTTGGCACCTAATTTTGCCAAGAAAATTCAAGTTGCAGTCTCTAAATCAATCTGAGGCAGTTAGTAATAGAAACTTCGTTATAAAAAAATTATTACAAATTGAGTTCAAATCACATTTCTTTTAGATTTTAGACTTCAGAGAGTTTATAGCTACCTAGAACTATTTTAAATTACTGTTCTTAACATATTTCATAGAAATGTCTTCACCACTCACTGACCTAAATTCAAATGTCAGGTTATGTAAAGATTGTTTCTAGCTCTGACAAGGAAATCTTAAACAAGTTATTTGTTCTTTCTTGTTTTACTTTTAAGGTGCAAGGTAAGGTTGGCAGTTCCGTATATTAAATAACAAGCCTTAGATATAAAGAAATAGAAGGAATCTGAATATGCTTTCTCATATTTATTGAAGTAGACAGTATAGATACATTAAGAAAAGCATGGAAGGGCCCTCAAGGAGCTTGCATCCTAAAAATAATAGTAAGCAGAACAGGTTTTCGTATCATTCTTTGTATTTTACTTCTCTGGGAGACATGAAGGTTAGGTGCAAGGGAAGGAAGAGTAGAAAGAGAAGTGGTTAACCAAAAAAAAAAAAAAAAACCTGTGGCTGCCAAGTTGATTCTGACTCACAGCCCTGGTGGCACAGTGGTTAAGAGCTCGGCTGCTCACCAAAAGGCTGGCAGTTCGAATCCACCAGCCACTCCTTGGAAACCCTATGGGGCAGTTCTGCTGTGTCCTGTAGGGTTGTGGTGAGTCAGGTGGACTCGACAGCAACGGCTTCGAGAAGTGGTGGAGGAGGTGAGAGGGAAACAGAGGAAAGAGAAGGTTGAGAGAAGGGGGAAGATAGAGCCTCACGGAGGGGAGGCATGAGTTTTTCAATCCAGTGGACTCCTTTTACAAAGGTAATATTCTCTTCCTATCAACTTACATTTCTAGTACAGTTTCTATTCATTTACATCCTCATAGTTCTTCTGAAAGGAGCCTGGTGGCTCAGTGGTTAACGCACTTGGCTGCTAAATGAAAAGATCAGCAGTTCGAACCTGCCAGTCACTCGGCTGGAGAAAGATGTGGCAGTCTGCTTCTGTAAAGATTTACAGCCTTGGAAACTCTATGGGGCAGTTCTCCTCTGTCCTACAGGGTCGCTGTGAGTCGGAATCGACTTGACGGCACAAAACAACAGCAGTTCTTGGTTCTCTAAAACAGAGAAAGAAGAAAAGGAAGAGCCCCACGTTTCTGAGCACTTCCCCGTCCGCATACCTGAACCTCCACATAGCTTTATTCTGCTTCTCCCCATTTCCATAGTTAAAGAATATTTCATCTACTAACTTCTTAAAACAGGTTTTCAAAGAAAAACTAAACGTCGACATTTTATTATTACAATGATTAGCAGCATGCTTTGCACTGATTTTAAAACAAAAATCGATCCTTTTGTGGTCAGTAGAGATTACTAGCTATCAAAATATGGTTTTAGCTACCACTAATGAGAGCCTTCATGTGTAACAGAAAAAGCCCGCTCGAAGGAGATACGAGTCCTATGGGATGCATTCAGACGATGATGCCAACAGTGACGCATCTAGTGCTTGCTCAGAGCGCTCCTACAGCTCTCGGAACGGCAGTATTCCGACGTACATGAGGCAGACGGAAGATGTGGCAGAGGTCCTCAATCGATGCGCCAGTTCCAACTGGTCAGAAAGGAAGGAGGGCCTCCTGGGTCTGCAGAATTTACTAAAAAATCAAAGAACACTAAGGTGAGGTGTGTTGTCTTAAAATAACTGTCCTGCCCGTGTCTGCACCCTTTGACTTAATTTTTTTTCTGTAACATTTTAGAGACACTGGTGTGGGACAGGCTGCCCTGACTCATCCTAAATACAGAAAATGGTACCTACGTGTTTTTCCCAAACTTTGGTCCTTCAGAATAGCTTTAGTACACCATAGTATACTAAATTTCTTATTAATTCACTTGCTCTATTTAAAGAAATATTTTTAAAAGAAACTTTTTATTTATAAATAGGAGTTAATTTTAAAAGTTATTAATTAAAAAAAATAAAATGTACTGATGGAAAGCCGAGTGGTTTATTAAAATTCATTCCTGATAAGTTTTTCACTGAGAGGACAGAAGTGTGTATGCTCGTTTGAAGATGAAACTATATTCTTAGTGTTCATGTAATATGTGTCAGATAAAATGGAGTGAATTTCTCTAAGGACAAAAGTTGTTTTTTGTTTTAGCCGCCTTTGCTAATAGCTTTTACTTGCTTTTTTCTCCTACGTTCTACATGGTCTTTATCTATAGAATGTTTTAAACCTCTGTAGTTCAGTCCTTTGAGAACCTTGTTTCAAACCTTCTAAAAACCTAGTTGCAAATAGGCCACAGACCCCCTACTTTTAAAGATTTGAATACTTAGGTAACTTAAATTAGGGTGAGTATTTATTTCATTTTTCTTATCTGAGTCTTAGTTTCCGGGAATCATAAAGTTCTACGTTCAGTGAGAAAACTGCTTGAGTTTAGGCCGTTTGTAACAGAAACTTGGCCTTGTGAATAATTGCATTCCAGAATATTAAGTGACTGCAGGTTTGGGGTGTTAGTGATGGTAGACTTTGTGTTCTTTATGAAGTGATAGGTGTAACAGTTGGGTGTATCAGTGCTTTTTCAAAGGTGCTGCATAATACAGAGTTAACTGTGTATATTCAAGGAGCCCTGGTAGCACATGAATAAAGCACTCGCCTGCTAACTGAAAGGTGTGCGGTGTGAACCCACCAGCAGCTCTGTGGAGGAAAAGCCCTGGTAATCTGCTCCTGTGAAGATTACAGTCTAGGAAACCCTGCTGGGCAGTTCTGCTCTGTCATATAGGGTTACTGTGAGTTGGATTTGACTTGATGGCACACAACAACGTGTATACAGCCACTCCTCACCTATCGACAAGGTTAGGTCCAAAGACCAGGTTGTTATGGAAAAGTCTGCATCAGAGTTGGGCCTAGCCCCTGGCACTTCTCGGGATGCCACTGCTGGTGGACCCCCATTCTCCATCACGCTTTCCCCACTACTGTGGAGCCCGCGGGGGTGGGGGGTGGTTGTGGTGATAGGGGAGTACCTGCAGTCTGCCAAGCTGCAGGGGCCCCCCATCACCTGGCCGTGCTCCAGGCATCTACATGGACCCCCGCGCCATGCCTCTCAACCTTGCTGCTCTTCCCACTGGCCCTGGCAACTGGCCTCGACTGAACGTGGCTCCCGGGCCTGGGGCCAGATGGAGGCTGCAGAGGTGGCAGAGAGACCTCTTTGGAAGAGATTTCCGAGCCTGCCCCCAACCCCTTCACTCCTGCAGCCCCTGCTCCGGCGCCCCCGCCTCCTGCACATCGTCACCTGCTCACCGCACTGCAGGCCAGCCCAGCTCCTCCACCCACCCCAGCCAGTACCAACAGCTGGCTGCCCACAAGGCCTCGCTCCCTCTCACAAACCTCGCCTTACTGCTCCTCCTTCCTCTCTCGCCTCGGCTCCTGGTTAATGTGCAAAATAGACGGTGGATTTTTTACTATCACCGTCAACATGAAATGTCAGCTAAGGACATAGTCAGTGATGAGTAGGTGTTCTCAGGCTGAGTTAACTTGTGGTTTGGCTTTTTCCTGGATTTTAAAACATGTACGTGTGCAGAAATGGTTAAATGAAAGGAAGCATACCTTTATCAAGATGCTGTTAAAGTTGAACATGCCTTAAGTTATGAAAAAAAAAAAGAACCTAGTTTGGGATAATTCAGAGATTTGAGTGTGGTGAGAGAATAGAGGGCTCCTTCCTGACCTGACTCTGTGAAATCAGAGTTTGATGTACTAGCTGTTTATTTTAGGAAGTATTAGAGCTACATCATTGAAAATGAATACGTGTTTATCAGTGTAACACCTAATGTGTTTTCATGTACACATATCACACTCAATGAATTACTGAGTAAATCGTCATAGTATTGTTCCCAGCCCCATCAGGCTTAGGATACTATTAGGTTCAATATACATCTTAAATGGCAAAGGGAATAGCCATAATATTTTAGAAAGATTTCAGCACCTAAGTGGCAAAATGTAAGGAAACACCCTGGTGCTTACAAAGGGTAAGATTCATGTTCCAGGAACATCACTTATAAAATTTCCCGTCATGCTACGTTAATGAAATGTGATTTTCTTTTCATATAACCTTCAACTTTGAGCATAATGTGGTTAATAACAGAATGTTATTAAATGTTGTTGTATTTAATACACTTTGTATTTAGCCCCGACTAGTAAATGGCAAAAAGTTTCTCACTTTTGAAGGCTGGTATTTTCACCATTGTTATTTTTTAAAGAAACCTGACGTGTAACCTAAACAGGTAACACGGAAGGTTACCTTTAAATTACTTTTGCCTACAGCAAGATACTAATTAATCACTTCATTATTTTGGCAGTCGAGTTGAACTGAAAAGACTGTGTGAAATTTTCACAAGGATGTTTGCTGATCCTCACGGCAAGGTATGTTTTGGTGTTTAAGATTATTTGCTCGGATAGTGCATCATTTGTATATAGCCCAAAAAAAGCAGTCAAACAGTAGCAAAAACTGTAAGCCATTTTGTTTGTTGGTTTGTTTTATTATTGCCCAGAAAATGGTACTGATATTCTCAAACATGATTGAAATTAAGTGTTTGATAGGGCACATAGTTTAGAAATTACTCTGTGGTAACTCTTCAGGCTCCTCCAAAGATGGATTGTCCAAGATTGGAAGCTAAAGGATATAGTAACAAGCACCACTCTTGAGTGACATGCAAGAAATTATACTGCATCGTAACTCACGGGTGGCTGTAATTTTGCATTACTAAGAGTTTTGTACTATTTGTAAAGGAAGTAACTGGGGTAAGTAGAAAACAATTATTAAATAACACAAAAGCACAAGCTATGGCTTTAGCCATGGTTTGGTGGCAATATAAAAGAAGCATTTTGTACATTGGAAATAGTCCATAAAGAGTTTCAGAACTGTGTTCAATTTTTAATGTTGATTAAAATATATTGAATTAAACACTTAATGCGTAATCTGCATGTGGACTCTGAAATGTTGCTTTGTGTTGATAGATAGTACTGTATAAAAACATATTAGTTTATTCTGTTTCCAGCAACGTGTTTGACAGTGTTAAACTTCATTAGTATCTTCCTTTAGCGTATCAAGTGTCTACAGGAGCATTTCTAACCTAAGTAAGAGAGTGTTGTGGAAGGGAAGTTATAAGAAAAATACTAACAGATTTTACTTTACTTTTTTTTTTTTGTTATTTCACTTTACTGTTATACACATCATTTCTCCATTTTTTTCTATTTTTGATTTTCCCATTACTTACAAGACTGTTGAAACATATTAAAAGCCTACTTTAAACTAAAACCAGCTAAAGATTTAACTCCAGTGGGGGACAAACTTAGAGTCTGTAACTCTGAAGCTGAACATGTAGATAGCTGTGCCATTTTCTGCTGGTATTGCTACCACTAATTACAGCTCTAGGCATTGCTTTAATGTAAACGTTACTGTGAATTCTAAATAAATTAACTTTTGCTACTTTTTAGATGGTAGTGTAAGCCAAACCAAGAGACAATTTTGATCTCGGTGAACCTGTTTCGTTAAACAACTTTTAAATTGACAGCCTATACGACTTTGAAAATACATTTTTGAAATGTCTTCAATGAGTGATATAACTCTTCCCTCCTGGAAGGTGCAAAACTGAGGCTGGGTTATTTCTTAAAGTCACAGCTTTTGATTTTTTGGTAGAGTCGTAGTGCAGTTCAGTTGGATGCCAGGATCTAAGTAGTAATAAAGAGAAACGTTTTTGAACAGTCTCTTGGAGCCCAAATAGGAAAGCTGAGTTTAATGTTGGCAAAGGAACTAAACTGAGCTCAATTTTTTGGCCTCCCTGAAGAAATATGGAGAAGACACTACAGTTCTCGCTAGGATTAAATCAGAAAAGTGGCTTTGGTGCTTCCCCTTAGGATTTTATAACAGTATACAATTTTTAATTGACCCACCTGGTTTTTGATTGGTTGGTTTGGTTTTTCTTTCTTTCTTTTTTTTTTTTGTTTTAGTCAGCCTGTGAAGAAAGATGTGATGAGAAGACATTTGTTCATTTGGTTTTGTTTGGCTTTTGTTTGGTGATTATCCATCAAGTCTCTGCCAATAATGTAATTCATTAAGAATAAACTGGACATGTATGACTGTGCTGAGTCAAAAATTGCAAATTAGAGTTTGGTTTGAGTTTTCATATTATATCCTAATGTCACTAACCCGTTGCAGTCTAGTCGATTCTGACTCATTAGCGACCCTATAGGACAGAGTAGAACTGCCCCACAGGGTTTCCAGGGGGCAGCTGGTGGATTCCAACTGCCGTCCTTTTGGTTAGCAGCTGAGCTCTTAACCACTGCACCATCAGTGCTCCATTATATCCTGATACTGCGGAAATAGCAGGTATCTCCCCTTTTTAACGTATCTTTATAAAGTACCAACAGTTCTGTCTTCAAGCTCTAGCAGCTAACCTTTTTGATGCCTTCTTTCCTTTTCTTTCCAAATACAATTTTGTTGTATAATTTTCATGTGTCACCGAATATTTTTTCTTCTGATTTTTTTTTTTTCCCCAGCCACGTAAAAACCATTCTTAGCTCACAGGCCAACCCCTGTTGTATATGATCATTGACACTAAAGATAGAAACAGACATTCAGGAACCTGTATTCTTGGAAGAGGGGAGCTGTGCCACTGTTTGAAGGTTAGGACTCTAGAAGAAAAGCAGTGTACTGGCCCCTGCTGGGTGGAATCCCACAGCCCTGCAGATTCCTGCTGCTCGTCACTGCTGGTCTGCGATCTTGGCTAAGTGCTCAGTGCTGCCTGGTGGTCCTCCCCTCTCAGCTGTCTTGCCTCCATGGAGGCTGGCAGATGTTGTCTCTCCTCAAAATTCCATCCCTGTTCACACCCCCCACCCCATCATATGCCCCGAACATATGCCCTTGCCTGTTATCTCACCAAGGAAGTAGAAACCATCCAGCAGACATTCCGCTTCCTGCCTCCAAACCAGTAAGCTGAACCACAGGTGAGGCCATTCTTTTACCTTCCCTCCTGTTAAAATGGAAGGAGGTGTCACCTTGAAGCTGTGGTGTTAGGTCCATGATAATATATCCTGTCTTGTTAAGATGGTCTCATCTGCTTGCTCTTCCAGGAATTTCTCATGAATTCCAACTTGCTGGTTGGCATCCTTTTTTGTTTTTCAGCTTTGTTGTGAATTTATTCTTTATTCAATGTGTTTCTTCTAAAGATAAATCTTATCTACTTGCTTAAAACTCTTTAGCTAGCCACTGACTGCCCATTACCCTCAGGAAAGTGGCCACACAGCCCATCGTTTTTGCTTGTCGTTCCCCCCTCACCCTCACCCCAGCCCGAGCTAGGTTCATTTCCCCAAACGTGCGATGCTTTAACATGTTTACAAATATGCCACCTGGGGACACGTTTCCTTCCCCAAACCAGTGTCCTTGGGTTTTCTGCTTAAATAGCACTCTTCCTCAAGCCTGGGTCAGATCTCCACTCTGAATTAGAATTGTTTCTCTGTAACCCCAGCTCTCCTGAAAGCTCACAGATCAGAGACTGAGCCTGAGTTCTTGCCCCTAGAATGGACTTCAGTGTTTGGGAGACACCTCATACCATGAGCATTAGTTGGGTGCATTTCCCCATGTCCTTTTATTTGAAGTTATCATTTCAGCCCCTCTATTAACAGCTTCAAGGAGCCCTGGTGGCACACTGGTAAAGTGCTCAGCTGCTAATCGATAGGTTGGCAATTCAGCACCACCAGCCGCTGTGCGGGAGAAGGATATGGCAGTCTGCTTCCGTAAAGATTACAGCCTTGGAAACCCTGTGGGGCAGTTCTACTACGTCCTGTAGTGTTGCTGTGAGTTGGAATTGACCACAGAGGGTTCGGTTTTTTGGTATTAACAGCGTCTGGTTAGTGGTTGGCATCTGTGATACGTGAAGGTTGTGCTTACTTCTCCCCACATGCTTAGATTACCTGCCATCTCCAGCAGAATCAGGAGACTTAGACAACCAGGCTGTGAGAAGCAACCTCACCCCTTTGAGCTAGAACCACCTTCTCCAGGCTCCAGAACGCTTCCCTTCTAGGTTTTTTTAGAGTAAGGGTCTGGAGTCCAACTGAAGTATCAGACAGTCCCAGTATACAGTGCAGACATTCCGTAAAGGAGGGACTAGTTCCGTGCTTTGGGACTCAGTGTTGGCGCTGTTCAGGAGTGGGCGCGGGTGAGGTTTAATACTGGGTGCTTTCCAGAAGTTGAGGAGCCTCAAGGATAAAAGAGTCAGGGAAGGAAGGGTTTTCATTTGTGTGTTTAATTTCCTTGGCAGAGAGGCCAGGGAGAAACACAGGAAGACCCCATGCTCTTCTCCCATACTGTTCATTCAACTCTTGTTTTTCAAAGTATTTTGAGTTTGTCATAAAAGTTTGAAAAACATTTGTGGCTTTTATTTTCTAAGTGTTTTTCTCCATGCAGGAACTTTGCATTGATGGCGACTAATTTGTGTGTTCTTTTTTTTCTTTTTTTCTTTTTGCATGCTGTCCCCTGTGTTGGAACTCTCAATAGAGAGTAAGTTGGTTCAATATTTGTTGGAAACCTAACTTTACTGCATGACTGTGACATTAACCCTTTTTCTCTATTTTCTCTCCCAAAGAGTTCATGCAGTGTTGGACCCTTTGCAATCCACCAACCGCTATTTGCAGTTATGCAGAGTGCCATTCTGTTTGGAGACGTGCTTTTTTAATCCACTAATTAATCTGATTGTGTTCTTCTGTTCTATATTTGATGACTGGCACACCTAAGATACAAGAGGGTTCAAGAAAAGGCTGTCTCAATTGTAATAGCACAGACATTTTGATTCTATTCCACTAAAGTGCAGTTGCGAGATACGTGGAATTATAAATTGACTTCACTGAGAGTTACTTATTTTAAAAAACATTTTCTAGGTTTACAATTGTTTCAAAAAAAAAAAAAAAAATCAGCCCCTGACCTTCTCATATGCTCTTTCTAATATTCTGTTAATATCATCCCATAAAAGCAAACAGAGTAGCTTACGGAACAGTGATGCTCAATTTTCTATTCTGAAATGAAGTTTTTATCCCTAGTTTTATATTAGCATATAAGGAAATTGGGGAATAGCAACATCTGACAGCAGACTTTTTTGGTAGAGCAATCAAATGAGAAATTTTGTGCAAAATTCCTAACATATAGTTTGAAGATATAAAATATAATATGTATAATAAACACTTAATATAAATACATAACATTATTTAGTAAGTACTATTGACAAGATGTAAGACTTTTTTAAATAATAGTGTAATTGTATATATAGAGTACTATAAAAAGCATGCCTACATTTTTTTAACCCACTATATTCACATTATATCTAACCGAAAGAAATTTCTACTTAGAGAAGTCTTCTTGAAGGAAATAGTAGTTCAGATATTGACAGGGACTTAAGCTCTGGGTATGTCAGCATGAAAAGAAAGGGCCTCCTGGAATGGCCAGCATGAGCCCAGAGAAAGAAGTTGGGGGATGCCAGAAAGTTTATAGAGAAGAAAATGAGGTTAATCTTGGCTGAAATGAAGGGAAATAGTTACACATCTTCCCTTGCATTAAGGAGAAAGGATTGGCTACCAATTACGGGGCAAATAACACTACTTAAAAGAAAATCCTTACTTTTTTTTTTTTTTTAGAGTTTTCCCCCTTCTCATCCATTAAACGGCTTTTTATTGGGTCCTCGGCCTCTGATAACTTAGAGCTTGGTTCTAATTGGGTGGGAGTTAAGAGAATCTGCATTATGAGTGATAACAGTGTTGAAGCAGATTCCGCCTGGGGCCCAGAAAGTAGTAGAACATTGAAAGTATTCATAGTTTCTACTTTTATAAATATAGAACATCTTGAACAAGTTGCCAAAGTGTATTTTTTACTTTCTAACTCAGATTCAAATGTTAAAACAGTTATAATTCTGACAGAAAATCCTCTATTTCTACCATAGGAAAGCAAGTGGAGCTTATATATAATTGCAGAAAGGAAATTCAAGAAACAAAACACATATTGAGAGCAAAACTCTTAAGATTATTAACTACTTATTTTTACACAAATAACGCACGCCTTCTATTTTTGTTTGGGAGGTCGCTGTTAGCAAACAAACATAGAAGGTGCACATCATTTGCGTAAAATATGGTACTTTAAAAACCATAATGTAAAAAACATTTTTATAATCAATTGTGATTATAATTTGTCTCCTAATACAGCATAACTGACATTGTCTTAAGACAATTATTTGCCTGCAAGTAAAATCCAGGATGGTGTTGGATTTCTTATAAAGTGTCATAAACTTGTTGTAGGTCACTTGTTGATAAGTATTTTAATGAGATACATCACTTATGAATAATAGACTCCCTTCATGTTTTAAGCTAGTAGATTAATATTGGAACCAAGTAAGAAACCCATCAATAGAAACGGAGACTTATAGCATACCCTCTAGGACTTTTTCAAAATCGTTAAAATTTTGATGCAGACTTTTATCCTGAATTTATTTCATTTTAGGTATAGTTATAGTTATCCCAAATCATCGAAGATTACTTTTGGGGCAGCTTTAGTAAATAATGTATCTCATACCAAAAAATTTGTGACAACAGCCCATTATGTCATATAAATCTGACGCTCTGAGGTAGTTGTCAGCATAGCCATCCTCTGATTTGCTCAGTGCCACTCTTCCAAAAAGCGGAGGGCCAGTGAGACTAGATAGTTCCTTTCCCTAAATTTCAGAGACAATGGAATTGAAGTTTAACCAGTTTAAGCTGTGGTATCATTGACAGCATTAGGTGTGCCAGCCATTATGGCCCAAGTTTCTTTACCAAGTGATGCTGCATGGAATAGCTAATTGTCGAACTTCTGCAGAAGTTGGATTACGGTTCGATGCACTCTTGTATCACAGAGTCCAAAGAAAACCAAGAGAGATTATTTTTCCGCTTGGCTGCCAATCGCTGTGCCTCTGATTCCTGTATTCCTTTCTATTTCAGTTGTGAATTGTGCACAGAGGTCAATATTTCCTCCTTTTTCTCCTCCCCTCCCCTTCTTGCCCTCCCCTCTCCCTTTTTATCAACTGTAGGTGTTCAGCATGTTTTTGGAGACCCTGGTGGACTTCATCCAAGTCCACAAGGACGATCTTCAAGACTGGTTGTTTGTATTGCTGACACAGCTGCTAAAAAAAATGGGTGCTGATCTGCTTGGATCTGTTCAGGCAAAAGTTCAGAAAGCCCTGGATGTTACCAGGTAATGTTTTTCTTCACGTGTTTCACGTTTACCTGATAGCAGTCAGAAATATTTCGTTCCTGTGTTGAAAGTAAAATTTCTAAGTCCCTTAAGATACTCCACTGGTCTCATCTCTTCGGGAGCAAGGGAGAAGGAAGAGAACAGGATACAATGAAAAGATTAGTCCAAAGGACTAATTGTCCACAGCTACCAAGACCTTCACCGGACTGAGTCCAGTGCAGCTAGATGGTGCCCGGCTACCACC